AGAGAGAGAGAGAGAGAGAGAGAGAGAGAGAGAGAGAGAAAGAGAGAGAGAGATTTTGATGAATAAACGTTGCCTATCTAGATCTAGATGTAGATCTATAATTTTAATTCAGTTTAGATCTAGATCTAGATTCTAGATATCTATAATCTAGGCCTAAATCTAAATCAGTTTAGATCTAGATCTAGATTCTATATTATCTATAATCTAGGCCTAAATCTAAATAAGAAACACGTAAAAATTACTACAGGGGCAAGGCCTTGAGAGATTTAGTGCAAACGGGACCGCTATTGTACAGGAGTGTCATTGTTTCCTAGGTTCAGTTCATGATCATTGATTCTGACATTGGGGAACAGCTCGCTGGGTAGTTAATCTAGATCTAGATCTAGTCAACAGCTAGTTAGGCTGCTGGACTCTAGCAGTGGCCGTATCTTTAGTTTTGAAAAATATACAATCTATTGTATATTCTGTTAGACAACAGTTCATTGCAGAAGCTCACTGGCTGTTCTGTCGTTTTTAAACTAAAAGATCTAATCTACTTCTACGTTTCGTAAACTCCTAGATCTAGATCTACATCATCATGTCACTGAACATGTTCAACCCACTACCGCTTTCCGTTTATAAAAACCTTAAATTTCTCAACTCACTATATTCAAAATGTGAACAAAAACCAGTAAAAATAAATACCAGTTTATATGAAAAAACCCCCAAGGCAAAACTGCCATTATGAAATTCAAAGTAGGCAGCTATTTCAGCGAGTTGAACAGTGTGCCCTTTTTTCCTGTCGTTTGTTTACACTTTAAACGCGCAGCTAGCTGGTTACCAAGGGGAGCCAGTTGGAACGAAAATGAGGCTGTTGTCCCGCCTTGTCTTATTCCGTCTTGGGTCACACAGCTAGCAGTACAAAATACCCCATCTCGTCACCCAGCCAGGAGAGCGACTGCAACGTACTTCTTGGGCCTGGCCAATACTGCGTCAGGTGACCAGAACGGATAATTTTCACCAGAGCATTATTGCGCCAAGTGACAGCAAAGTGTTAAAACAATGAAACAGTTTTCTTGTGTCTGCTGAAAAATGGTTTTAGGGCTTGTAACATTTTCTCATCTGGCTGGTGCTATGTTGAAACTCCCGCAGGCACACAAAGAACTAAAGAACACTGACCTGTTCCTGTATCTCAGAGTCACCCTCATCACCTTGGGTTTTTTCTGTGGTCATCAACTGAACAAATCAAATGATAGACAAAAATAAATATCAAAGACTAAATTAAATGTACCTGACAAATTATCAAACTGAGAGGTTTTGAATAGATTAATAAACTCTGCTGACATGAAATTTACGATAAAAATGATATCATGATAGCACACCCACTAATAATTATGTGGGAAAAAAAAAGACATGATTACCACAATGAATAGAAAGAACGGCACTAGTTGAGAAGTGATGTCCAGGCTCAGAGGGTGGCCAATTTGGTGAAATCAGTTTGGGAATCTCGTTTGTAATTTACAATCATCATTGTACTACATTTTACAAGTTAAAGTTTAAAAGAATAATAGCGTTTAGTTTGATGCATAGATTAAGTGGAAAAATAAGATCTAAAAAAATATTAAGTGGAGTTGCTTTTTTAAGAAAAGGCTTTCCTTCATACCCACACAGGATTACAAACTGGGGATTCCCAAACTGAATTTGCCAAAATGGCCGCCCTCTGAGCCGGGACATCACTACTCGACCAGTGCCGGAAGAACAGCATCATCAAAAACAATTTTAAAAAACCCTTAAAAAACAAAACAAAAAAAACTCCAAAGGAAATTAGATCATTTTTACATCCTAACCTTATTTTCAACATTCTACATAAACCAACAATCTTGCAACAAACATACAAAAAGCCCCCAAAAATCCAGTCAAGCTGAAACAACGACAGCGTTCTTTCATTTCATTTAAAGAGACTTACACTGACACAACCACTTTTGACTTTAAAATTTTAAAAAGATAGAAAAGAAGTCTTTTCATCCAGTACTACCATCCAACCACCTTTCACCAAAGCCATGTTCTTGCCACATTTGTGCCCCACACGGTGCACCGGCATTGGAATTTAAGTTGCATCGGGGGGGGGGGGGTTCCCCCGCCAAGTGCCTTATCATGTCGGGGTCACCGGGGTCAGCTCCCTGTCGTCGCTTTGTCTTGGCTGACTTAATTTTTGGTACTTTTCAACGTACAGTTCTAGGTGTATCCTTGTATTTATGGTAATTATCACTTAATACACCAAAAGCACGCGTTTCTGCTCTTGAGACAAAAAAGAACGGACATTGTAACTTGTCTGGTTATTTCGTTAGAGACGCTGCAGTAGACAATGCTAAACTGTAAAATTTTTGGGACAAGTGTGAGTGAAAAAAATCAATATTAAAAAAAAGGGGACGACAAAAACTGTCAAGCTTTTGGAACATGAAAGATATAACATTGGTGCAGATACTCAGAAAGGATGGTATCTGTGCATATAATAGATGGCTGTAATTTTGCAACTTTATCCATCTGGCACACAATTCGCTATGAAGTAATTCCTCCAAATACAACTTTATGTGTCTAATATGATTGTGAATATTCGGATATTTTCTCGAAAGTTTATAAAAATTACCCTGTAGTATCTCTATGAAGAAGTATAAATCGATTCTAGTGCCAGCATACATCTACAATGTAATACACGAACAGTATCTGATACGCTCCAGAATTCCTTACTTTTCTTAAAACGCCAAGTCTAGGTTTTGTAAGTTGACTGAATAAAATAACAGAGATGGCGCACCCAGCTAACAATGAGAGATGAGGAGGTGCCCTATAACAAAACACCTACCTTCCTTGGCGTAACCTTTGATAGCAAGTTAACATTTAAAGAACATATCAATAAATTAAAGAAAAAACTGGCCCCACGAGTCAATCTCCTCCGCAGGCTCTCCGGCACAGACTGGGAAAGCAGCAAAGAAGATCTACGTATGGTGTACATCACGTACATCAGATCAGCCATCCAGTATGCCCACGCAGCCTGGTTCCCAGCAACGGCCAAAACAAATCGTGAGACCTTAAATGTTATTCAAAACTCGTCAGCCAGAATAATTACCGGGTGTACGAGAAACTCAAATGCAATGCTGCTCACAAACGAAGCTGGCCTGATCCCACTTGAGGTTAAGTCTACCGTTGCAACTGCTGTGGCATACGAGAGAGCAAGAAGAGTCCCAGAAGACAACCCGATCCGTGCCTCAGCTGAAGGAACATCAAAAATACGCTTAAAGTCCATCAACAGTTGGAGGGAAGTGGGCCGACAGAGCTCTAATAACGCGGGACTAGAACATCTAATCCGATAGCCCCTACGGCCAGTGAGTACAACTCCACCGTGGAAGACCCCCTGCAACCTCACAATCAACTCAAAACTTGCAGTGTCTACGACAAAGACAGATCCACCTAATATGCGACGTGAAGCAGCTCTCGAGACTGTACGCCGATTGCCTACGTCCGACCTCGATATCTTCACTGACGGCCACGCCACCGACGGCTACAGGTTATGTGGAGGAGGATACTGGTGTCTACACAAATCTTCTGGGGAGGAAACATGCGTATCCGTGCCCACGGGACTATACGGAAGCAGCTACCGAGCTGAAACTACCGCCCAGCTCCGCGCACTGCAATGGCTCGAAAAACAACCACATTTTCAAAGAATCCACATCTTCACAGACTCCCAGTCAGTTGTCCAACACTTAATGTCTGGAGTGACTGCAGTTCGTACTGAGATAGAGGACAAAATGTGGACCACTATCTGCCAATGCTGTGAAATCCACGGACACCTTCACATACAATGGATACCAGGACATTGCGACATCTACGGGAACGACCGAGCTGACGCCCTGGCCAACAAGGGAGGCCGCCTCGACCAGTCCAACACTCCAGTCGATATTGCGTCAGCAAGCTCGTGCATCTCGCGTTACATCATTGCCCACGCATGGGAGAAAGCGCGAGTGCACGACTCCGTCAGGGGAAAGGTGAAGCCACCACCCGAGAGGGACAAAGAGAAAGACCTTACCGTCAGACAGAGAAGAGTGCTATCGCAGCTAAGATGCAACGTGAAGAGCCCCATTCTGCAGACGTATCTCCATGCAATAGGCTCCGCTCCCAAAGATTCCTGTCTGGCATGTGGCACAAGTCCTGACGACCTGCAGCACGCACTGTATGAGTGCCCGCGGGGGGAAGCACATCGAGGCCCACTTATGGAGAACAACGCGAGACCGGGCCCTGATGTACTCTGGACGAGGCCACAAGAGGTTGCCGCTTACCTGTCTGCCTGCGGCAGACTGCCGCTCTCCTAACGGAGGCCAGCCAGAAGAAGAAGAAGAAGAAGATGACTTCTCGAAGTTGCGTTATAAGAATAGTTTCTAGCTTTCCAGTGACACCGAATCAGCACTAGACATTTCCAGCTGTTGTTTTAGTTTCTATGACCATTTACAATAACTAACACTGTTCTGATTTCTTTACATTCATAAGTGTCCGTGCATATTTCCGACACAAAAACTAAGAATGAATGTGTTAGCTGTCATTATTTTTATTCCATACAAGAAATTTATCTCTACCCATGTATTTACACAGTTTTGTGTTTTAAAAAAAATCACATAATGTATCTTTCTTAGTAGTGTGCAGGCTGCCACAGACACAGCATGATTCAAGAACAAACCCAGAGTAACTTTCTCTTGTTTAATGGTAAAACAAGAGGTAACGCTTAGTGCCTTTTGTCAAAAAATGCAGATGTGCATCTTTCTTCTCTTATAACTTGATTATTACCACTTGCCAAGATTTGAGATTTCTCATTGTAAAAGACATGATATTCGTAGTCAGTTTAACACAGATTTCAGAGAGATCTTTCGTGATGTCTTTAAATAAACAATCATCTATTATAAAAAACTATAAGGTTTTCAGAGGTCTGTCAAAGCTACAGAAGTTTCTACAACACAGAAATTTACGCAAGTTGTCCATAATAGCACCAAGTAGTGCCTTTTAATACTTTGGTAGTCCAACAATTAATGTATTAAAAAAATTTTTTTGATCGTACTGACCACAAACAGTGGAGGAAAAGGTACAAATGGAACAGCCGCGAGCCCAATGTCTCGCAAAGTCTCGAAGTCGTTCGCAGGAGAGACAAAAAATGCGTGTGTACAGCAAAAAAACCACAATAATGCAATTAGTATTAATAAACTTTAACAAACTGTATTAATACAAAATTTAAAAACCATTTGTGGGTTTTAACGTTTAGAGAGAAAAAAAAATAGATCTAGCGGCTGTGTTTTCACGTGTAGGGAGAAAAAAGGAACAGCGGATATTCCGAATTCTATTTTCAATTTAAACCAAAACGTGACCAGAGGTGAGCGAGGTTTAAACCAAAACGTGACTATTGTACGGACAACACCAAATGGACAACTTTTAGACCTCATTACACAGAAACTAAGAGGCGAATTGTCCTGATTTTTTTAATGTGCCTCGGAATTCCCTAAGCAATCTCAATTTTCGTGCACATTCGACAAATATAAAGAGGTGTTGTCTATATAATCATTAGTATTTAATTACAGTCTGCGCTGGGCAGGTTTTTTTTATTAGACCAAATACCGTAGTTAAGTGATAGTTTTTTTGTTTGTTTAAATCTAATTTTCTTCCTTTTTTTTTTTACCTGGCTGCATGAGCCGCAAGACTGAGTTGTTTTCAGTTCAGGGCTTAGTGGGTGACAGTGGGTTTATTTTGATTGACTCATTGTGATATACAATGAGTAAAATTTCTTTCAATCTTCTGTCATTGAGATCGCATGCGTTTCAATTTGCTGTTGCTTTTTCATTAAATACCATGGTTATATTACTTAGTTTACAAACCCCCTAAAACGTTGCCTTAAAACTACTACTAATCCCGAAAAAAGGAAAAGACATGTATGTGTATACAGGGAGAAGTGGGGGGGGGGGCAGTGTCATGCCCATTAGCGCTTCAAATTTAACACTCTGTTGACCCCCGCTTTTAGGTTTGACCAAACTGTATCCCTCCTCCCCTCCTCCCTCCTCCCCTCCTCCCCCTCTGAAATTTCTGGCTGAGCCCCAGCAACGACACCCTGTATTGTTTATGGTTTTAGCATAGTACCATGCTTGCTATAAAAAGTGTACGGTGTTGAGTTTAATGAGCAGTTAATTAGCCTACTAATGATTATAAAGACAGCACCTCTTTATTTTTTTCGCTACTGCACGAAAATCGAGATTTTTTAGGTCGTTTAGAATTCAGCGTCGCATGCAAAAAATCAGAGAGATTCGCCACTTAGATTCTGTGTAATGAGATCCATTTGGTGTTGTCCGGACTATAGAGCCGAGCGAAGTGAGGGAAGATGCCATCTGGAGATTGGGTCGGGTAGGCTAGATCTAAGTCTATATCTAGATCTAGACAGATTAAGAAATTATAAACCAAAACATGACCAGAGCCGAGCGAAGTTTAAATGTGACTAGATCTAGAGCCGAACAAAGTGAGGGAAGATGCCATCTTGAGATTGGGGCAGGTAGGCTAGATCTAAGTCTAGAATGAAGTCTAGGTGAATTTACCACCTTTACCCCCGCCTCCGACAATTCTGAAGGATCTTCTGACTCAAAACACCCCTGAGGCATAACATTTTAGGAAAAGCATAAGAGCTTTCAATTCAATTCTCGCATTTGTTGTTATAAATGTATACTGTCATCTACATGCTGCCTTCTCTTAATGCTGTTTCTATCGCTAATATTGTCTTGCCCCTTTCTATGAACGGGTTGATGTACTAGTTTATTCATAAGTATGTAACTAAAATAGGACAAATTGGGTACTCTACAAACACTTGTCTAGAACAAAAACTAAGGCACAGAAATTAACTATTCCAAAGAAAAATAAATCTCAAGACATTGAGCTTTTAGTACATTAGTGTAACGGTTTCCTATGTGGGATGGGGAAGAAGTTATATCGTTTCAAATGCCCAAAAATTTGGAAGTGCCTGATTTTGCTGTATCCTGGCACACATAGAACAACTGGCCACATCACATTTTTAAAACTTTTCACTTTGAGGTCTATAGATCTAGGTACACCTCTGTCTTTCCAAAAGTTTATTTATCTTTTGTTTTATCATGCCTATTCTGCATTTTACATCTTTAGTGCATATTCCAATAGTTGTTTTCATTGATCCTAAATAATTGAAGTCTGTTTTTTCTGTTGGAGATTTTGACTTCTTGTTTCTGTACTGTGCATGACTTTGGTCTTTTTAGTGTTTATCTTCAGATCTGCTTTATTGCTAGCAGCATCCACTCAGATGTAACATACTTCTCATGCTTGTGGTGTTGTCAGATAGAATGGCTGTAGATAGAAGGGATGTGTTGTAAGCATGTCTTAGAAAAGAGAGTTTCTACCTCCAAATTTGACACCTATGTCATCTTTGATTCTCTTGTGATTTTTCTAGAGACGTAAATTACAACAACAGCAAAAACGACTACTGTGCGACTAAAAGTATAAAGCATACCTCTTGAATGGCATTTTTGATACTTTGCTGAACCTCCTCCTCCATGCTCATGATGGTCTGGATGTGTTCGTGTTTGTTATCACAGTTGATGGCCACATTCAGCACAAGCTGAAGCAACCGGCCCAATTCCTGAGGATCACTATGCTCGCCTAGAAGAGAACAGCATTCAACTTAGTTTTGTCTTAGTAAGTGTTTTACGACACTTGCATAAAAAATGGGTCATATAGGTGCTGAAGATTAGAAGTGTTTCTAGAGAGCAAGGTACAGATAAAGGAGTAGAGATAAGAAGGATAGAGGTTTGATAAGAAAGAAGAAGCAAATCACATCACAACACCTGCCCACCATTCACAGTGTCCACAGAAGTGGGAAATGAATGAAACAAAAGAGGTCCCCCACCCGATTAAAAGCTATCCACAAGGAAATTTAATAATGGACTTAACTCTGCCATATTCTTCAACAATATTCAATTATGACTAAGAGGTCTAACTGTGTAACTGGTCTCTAGAATTTTTAACACACACACAAAAGCTCCCCCCCACAAAAAAACAAACCAAAATACTTTTAATTCAAATGATGAAAACAGATGCAACAACATTATTACAATGTATAGTTTTTAAAAAAGCACACCATCCATATGCTCTGTGTTGGCAAAATGTAATGCACTAGCAAATTCAAGGGACTTATTGTAAAGTCAGAGGCCACCTTGTAATTATTTTGCAGCTATGTATGTCTATAACTACAATCTGCTATAAAACTGTTCGGAGTTGAATACTAACACAGGCACACTCTTTTATATAAATTAATAGGGAAGAAACTACCACATTAACACTCTCCTTGCAGGACACACATAAACGTGTGTTACTTTGTCTTATCATTCACTGCAGAATGCATGACAGCATGCATTTGGCTACCCAACCCTACCTTGCGGAATGCACGTAAATGTGTTCAGTAAAATTGCACTCCAATTTTAAAAACTACGCAGGCTCACTTCTCCCAGAAATAAAATTTAATCATTAAAAAATATTTTGGTAATCTACCCTAGACTATTTAGACTAGAGGCAGAAACAAAGTTCTATGCAGCCCCACTGAAACAGGATCAGCCAGCTCTGATTCTTTATACCTAGGTTGAGAAGGAGCTGGTAATATTGATTTCGATTCTCCATTCAATATTGGCATGAAAATTGACTTCGCAGTCCTCTTTTTAAAAACATGTAGAAATGCTGCATTTTCAGGGAATTGCTCAGCTTGTAACAGGGAACTTCATCTGAAAAACCTGTACACAAGGAGAGTGTTAATACTGGTAGATAGTTGACTCAAAGCACTTACCTAATGCACCAACATCAGGCATCTGAAAGCCTTGCATAGTTACACCTAGAACCTGTCGCAATGTCACACAATTTCTGTTAGATATGGGATACTGATAAAAGTAAGAAGCTTGTTTTAAGGAATGGGGGTCTGAGAGATGGCAAGATCTTAGAAAAGTAACTTATTATAGCTACTTGGGCACAGGGTTTCCACTCATCAAGGAGAATATATTTCCAGGTTTTTTCCTGATTGACTCCTGGATTTTGCAACCATTTTCAAAAGTGATTAAAAAAATAAAAAGATGACAGAGCAAGGAAGAAGAAATTTAGAGATGCATAAGAATCGTAAAATGGCCTTTCCAGGGTGTCAAGGACAGGGATAGTAGAGTAACTGTAGAGTAAACAAAGTCGAAAGTGTGATGAAAGAGGACTCGACGAGCTCGTCGTTGTCACATTAGGGAAAAAAAGAGGGTAAGGGGGGTGTTAACTTACCTACTGTTGGCTTGACACTTGCTTAAACAAAAGAAACTGAGGGGACCAGTCCCAAACCCTTGATCCTGATTGTGCATCACTACACATTACCACAACCAACTGTCTTAAGTTTCATGCTTGATCCGGTCTTGTTTTTCTTTTCATTCTCTCATGGGCCTAAACTGTCACCCACAACACAAAGGTGCACATAACGTAGAATGTCGGAATCTGGCCTTTCCTAACTTATGCGCTGGGAAGGTGGGGATGGGTTGGGGTAGCTGAACACCAAATAATTTTTAAAGAAAATCAGAATCAGGGGTGGGGTGTTATGATCGTATTTTAGTAAAGTTGAAAAATCTATTATCCTATCTTCTAGCTAAAACATTACTGCTCAGAACAAAAATCATTATTACATTGACATAGGGAAAATGTGAAAAGACAATCAGTTTGGTCTAACGCTGTTTGAAAAAAAGATGTCAGTCATGTTTCCAGTATTTCTTTAAAAAGTTTTTAAAGCGGTATTCTCAGGGATGAGGTTCTCCTCAATATCTTGATTCTAGCACTCATCAGGACTTTTCACATTTTGAACGTGACCACAGAGAGTCCACTACATTAAGATCACAGTCGAAAATATGAAGCCCTTATATAAATTAATTCAGAACTTTATCTTCTTCAGCACAAAAGACTTGGACACATAAAAAACACCATCTTACCTCCAAGTTGTACTCTAGAAGACCCTTTAAAATTTTCTTTAGATTTGTAACCTGGAAACAGAGACAGAAATGTAATCAACTTACAATCAATGCATTTCACCACGCATTCATAAGCAAGCAAAGCCATTAAACTGAAACTGATTAACCTTAAAGTATACAGTCAAATCGTGTGTGAGGTGACTGGTCACTGTTTTGTTTTAAACCTAATACTAGCTGTATATTTAAGTCAACAGTCATCAATGCAGTTCTTAAAAAGGTAAAAGGTTTCAGTTTACAAATTCACAAAACCATAGCCAAAATCATCAAACTTCACATACATCTTAAAGGGAAAATTAGGGTCACAACAAATACATGTCTAAAAATACAACCCAAAAACTGTATGGCACTAATAGAACATTAACCATTTAATACTAAGGGATCCCTCAAAATCTTTAAAAGTAGGGCCTACTGTTAAAAAAAAGAAATGCACATTCTTTTCGACCATATAAAGAAGACGGCCATAATTTCCTTAGAAACAAGGAATCATTATGAAACTTTATGATCTTTAAGTCACATTTTTTATCTGTTAAGTTCAATAATTCTGAAAAGGTTTGTATTGCTACTTTTGTAATTTCCAAGGGTGCAATCGGTACCGTGTGAGTAAAGCCCACTAAAAATATGCATTTCTTTTTATGAAAAGTATAGACAAAATTTTCAACTAGGTTTGCAATAAACTACAAGCGTAAAAAAAAGTATCCTGACCTTCAGCCTCCAGTTGCTGAGGTCTTCTGACTTAATCTTTCCGAGCCAAGTCTGTGTAAAAAAACTTGGCGCTCTGTGAAAACAAAGACAACCATATTGCATGAATTCAAAATTTAATCAGCCATGAAGTGACCTCAAATCCCGTGGCAATGGTGAAACATGGAGAGCACTATGCCCATTATTTTGCCACTTACTGTGAAACAACTTTACTCTGAATTTTGCTCGTACCATTGACTCAGCATTTCTTTTATGTCATTGAAATACATGAAGGCTTTTTTCTTTTCGAGAAGCCTACTTCCTCAAGTGAAATAGAAACTTTTAAATGCTCAAAAAGAGGCAAACTATTCTCTGCCAGAAATGGTCAGATGCCACAAATCATTTTAATCCTTATTTCTTCTATTTTTTAAAAAGAAATATTCTTCACTGCAGATGCATTAGTCATCACCAAACATTGACGGATGAACTATACATCAACATCAATCAATTATTAGTAATCTATCAAACCGATGTTTGCATGAGGCACACAAAACATTAACTTTGGTTAGATTTTGCAATAGATAAATACAGTACGGGACAAGCAGGTCTGCCTGCCTGCCTGAAATTTCCAATTTTCAGGTAGATTAGCAAATTTTTGGTAGTTTGAAAAAAAAAGAGGTCGTGAAAAGACACCAGAAAAAAAAGACCAAAGACAAACTTTATCCATCTAAAAGTAATTAACATCCATTGAAGCTTGCCAGTAGTAATTTTTATCCAGGCTAACCACATTAACATTTTTTTTTCCTTTCTATATTCAGGTATGTGTGTATGCGCAAGCACGTGTGTGTGTTTCGGTGTGCATATGTGAAGTATATGGCTCTTTTCGTCTAAGCAGACGGTCAATTTAGCTTAAGATGGTCTCAAGGTTGTCTTCATGCAGCTTCTTTCATGGCTAATTCTTCCTATGTTTGAAGCGCAGATTCTGTTGCAGTGCTTGCATGTTAGCGTTGTAGATCGAAGCTCTGTATTTCCGCTGTTTTCCTTTCGTTGTTGGCGCTTTTCAGCCTGGTTGTTTCTATGGCTGTTCTCTAGCATTTTAGTTCTTTCCTTTATAATATTCCTCCAGGTTTTCCGGTCCTCCACTATTTCTTCCCAGGTGTTAACATCTACTCCAAGCTTAGATAAGCTGTTTTTGCAGGTGTCTTTGTACCTCAATTATGGTCTTCCTCTTTGTCTCTTTCCCTGGGCTAGTTCTCCATAGAGAAGTTGCTTCGGGATCCGGTTGTCATCCATTCTCTTGACATGGCCAAGCCATCTCAATCTTTTTAAACACAGGATAGTTGTCATGCTCTGGAGGTTTGCCCGGGCCAACACTTCAACATTTGTAACCTTGTCACGCCACGAAATGCCTAAGATCTTGCGGCAGCATCTGAGATGGAAAATGTCGAGGCGCTTTTCTTGTCTGCTGTACAAGGTCCATGATTCAGATCCATAAAGGAGTGTGCTGAGGACACATGTTTCGTAAATCTTGATCTTTGTTTTGATGATTAATCTTTTGTTTTCCCATGCTCGTTTTGTCAGCCTTCCAAAAGTTGTTGCTGCTTTTCCTATCCTGATGTTGATCTCATAATCAAGTGATGTTGTAGAGCTGATGGTAGACCCCAGGTAACAAAACTTGTCCACTGTCGTTCAGCCATATATGGCTCTGCTCTGCACCTTCTTGGGTAAGGATGACTGTTTTCTTAACACTGATGACCAAGCTAAAGACCTTGCATGCTGTTGATAGGCGGTCCATCATTGTTTGTAGGGTTGATTCACTGTGAGCAACAAGAGCAGCATCATCGGCGAAGAGAAGGCCTCGTACTGTTGTTTTGTTGATCTTGGTCTTGGCCTTGAGTCGAGCAAGATTGAAGAGCGACCCATCAGTTCTCCAGTGGAGGAAGACATCCCCTGGTGACTCTTTGAATGAGTGTTGCAGTAAGACAGCAAAATAAGTGCTAAAAAGGGTTGGTGCTAGGACACAACCTTGCTTTACTCTGCTTTTGATGTTGAAACTGTTTGATGTTGAACCGTCAAACGGAATGGTGGCCTTCATATCTTCGTGGAACGAGATGATGAGCTGTAGCAGTGTTGGGGGACAGCCAATTTTTCCAAGCACCATGTACAGTCCTGATCTACTGACTGTATCAAAAGCCTTTGTCAGATCGACGAACGCAGTATCAGGGTTCCTGCCATGAACTTCCCATCAAATTCAAGGAGGTTTCAAGGAAAAATATTTTTAATTCAAGGAGATTCGGTCAAAAAATTCATGACGAAAGCCTATTTTCGAAGGCCTACACTTGTCCGAAAGGAACCCTATCATAGTTTCGATTTTCCTACAAAAACTGTTCCCAGGGTGACTGCCAACCCAGCTTCTCAATTTTCCAGGCCAGGGGGGAGGGGGGGCTTATCCATTTTCCATGGGCATGTTACATAACAATGACAGTGTATGATCCATTTATATATATATATTATAAATAAATAATATAATATATAGACACACATGTGGCACGCACGCATGTAGGTACATTATATCCAGTCAACAACATGATGTCAGTGTGGCACTGGGATACTGTGACTTAGGTATTTCAGTCTGTTCTTACTTATTTATATTTTCCCCTCATCATATTCGCCTATATTAACTATAAAAAAAGAATCTTGCTTTGAGCCTGAGAAAAGGCCTAGAACCAGAATATCCACTGTCAAGAACCAGTCTTGGTATCATGATTCACATTATAAACGTGAAAGACAAAAATTATTGCTCTAACTCAAAGTAGAGCAATAACAAGAATGGCTCAAGTAGACCTATTCAGTGTGAGAGGTGTAAGAACTGTGGGAGGGCAAGATGCAGTGACTCTGAAAATCTGCAAATCTTGAACAGAAAGTAAAAATTATATTATAGAATATACAAGTACAATCAATGAAACAGGAACCCTTTAGTTACAAAAACACGGCTTACAAGGTTTGAGTATGACTGATCCCGATTCCACACAAGGCCTGCACCAACGCGCGCTTTGCAGAGAGCTCTAGATAGTAGTATGTTATCAAAATTCTGAAAAGTAAAATCTGCTTCCAAGTTTAGTTTTTGTCATCCGGTGTTGCCTTCAACCCCACCCCCCCTCGTGCGTCTTTAAAAAAAAATCAATAATCCCCCCATTCCCGAGTCCTATACTTCGCAGCGCTCAAACTTTGCATGAACTTTGGTGACCTCAACCATCGCCGATACTCACGATGTGACGAAAACGCACAGGTTCAATGACCGGTCACGATGGCGAGCCCGACAAGAAGCTTCCTTTTTCTTTCTGTTTTTTTCACAAGTGACAGCACAGGACAAACGAATTATTTTCATGGCCACACAACGTATGTAATGCAGAACCTGCATGTTACAAATATGGCGCTATCAGACTACTATAGGTCCTACCTGCAAATTTCTAGGTGGTAACGAAAGCGAAAGTAGATCTTGATTTTCCCGATCAAGCTTCGGTATCGCACATACACTTCCACTTTTTGCCGCCATAACAGCCTGTGCGCGTGTAACGTACTCTCAGCCGGGAAAGGCCGAACGAATATATATATCACAACTGTGACTCGCAAAAATGGACTCAAAGACGTTATCAGATTTAGTTTTCAAATATTCGAGAACGTTTATGTATTTTCCCGGGTCTTTCACGGGGCAATTTACAGATTTCATCAAATTCCCGTTGCATTCCGGGTCTCGGCGATTTTTTTCAAATTCTTGGGTAATTCAGGGGCCCCAGGGATTCCCGGGGCCTGGCAGTCACCCTGTACACGTGTTCCTGTCCGATCTGGCAAAATTCAAGGAGTTTTCAAGGAGACTTTTCCTTGAACGCAAATTCAAGGAGTTTTCAAGGAGATTTTTCCTTAAAAGCAAATTCAAGCAGTTTTCAAGGACTCCTTGAATTCAAGGAGGCTGCGGGAACCCTGCAGTATGTAATGGCAGTCGTTGCTCCCTGCATTTTTCTTGTAGCTGACGAATAGAAAAGATCATGTCCATTGTTGAGAGGTTTGATCTGAAATCGCATTGGCTCTCTGGTAGGACTCTTTCTGCTAGTTTCTGAAGTCGCTTCAGGATGATCCTAGTGAAAGCTTTTCCAGTGATGCTTAGTAGTGAGATACCTCTGTAGTTGTTGCAATCTCCTTTGTGAAGTATTGTGAAGGTAAACAGTAAACAGTGTCGATAAAACGAGATGTGTTTATTCATTAAAAACATTTGTGGACTACCCAAGGCACCCATCAACCAGAATTTAATATGGATTTAAACGCCAAAATTATTCTAAAATCCATAGCTGTATCAATGAGGACTATAAAGCAAACTTCCTGACGAGGACATGCCAACAGGGCACTGATAAGTCCTATGTGACTTATGCCAGACAATTTAAATTAGTTTCCCTAAACCATATTAAAAAATTTTAAACTCCTGATTTGGTCATGTTGAAAAGCCAGATCATCACTTTTCAAAGACATGGATTCTAAAACTTATTGAAGGAAAAACTTCATAGATCAACCTCAAGGCAGAGCAAAAAGTAAAAGAAGAAGAGTGCAAAATATGAGCGCTGGAGTGGTAAGGACTGAGGGAGCATGTAGTGACTCAGAGAATTTAGCAATCACTATATCATGAACTGAGTATTGATTATCATTGTTGTAAACAAACTTTATATTATTATAGTAGAGGGTTTTACGGCACTCGCAACTGCATAAGGTCATATGAGCGCCAAGGGGTGGGTGTCAACAGAGAAGTCTTTACAGGGAATCAGACTTACTCTGCTCACCTCTCTAGCTTCAACAGCACAAGGTCTGCTTCAACTATCAAGGCACCCCGGAAATAGTAGGTCACAAGAGTGACAAACATACAAAAGAAGTAGAGGAAAATGACAATAGTAAGGATTAGGAAAGAAAAAGCAGCAGTTCCCTGTTGTAGATCAGGCACAGTTATGAGCGTGACATGAATCAGCCCATTTAGGCCTACAATTCTACTGTGCTTCAACGAGAAATGTCCCCCCTTTGGGAATGGCCTAAAGACACTACAGTCAGTGGCACTGCCCCGGGGGGAAAAACAAACTTTTGATCAACAAAATCCCCAGAGACATCAACATTATGTATGGGGCTCTGGACTTCAAAAGTGAACATTACAACCGAGGGTATGTTTTAAGTAAAGTACATTATACCGAGGTTTTACTGTACTTAATTTTTTGTCTCAAATGAACAAAGTTTGGCAATTTTAAGAATAATTTTAATTCACTATAACACTTGTTAGTTAAGGACATTACTCAGTTCACACTTACATGACACATAAGGCTTGTGCTATAGCTACCCCATCACTCAGCTCTTCTGCTGTACTGTGAGGTGCTTCTGGAGAAAAAGTTTCCAGCTGTAGACAGAATACAAAATATGTGATGGAGCAAATGTGAAAACAAAAATCCATGAGAATCATAAAAAACTGTAGAAACACTCATAACATAAGACAGAGCTTTTTCTAAGATTTCCTTAACATTTGGGATGAAAGCAAAAATTTCACCCATCTTGCATACTTGCTGTTGTGTCCAGCGAGCGGCCCTGGAAATGTGTGTTTTTGCCGTGAATACCATGGGGGTGTGTTAATTGGAGATGAAAATAACGCTGTGTCTTTTATAATAAGCTTTCCATTTATAAAACTGTTACGAACACATGAAAATAACACCCTCTCATAAGTTGATAAGTCTTTACGAGTAGTTACACTCATCGGAAAAACCTTTTAAATGCTCTTGTTGTTACGAATGTTCTGGGGCTTGAAAGGACATAATAAAGTGGAACTCGGATACAACGAAGTCGTCGGGCCTGGTCTTGAATTTCATAGAATCCGAGTGTTTGTCATGGCAAATATGAGGAGATAATTACAGGCACCGAGCAAGTAATGTATAATGTATTCCGACTTTCTCAATCTAACATACAAGTTTGGTTTCAAATGAGAGGCATTTTTGTTTCTTTGATACCAAGGAATTGCAGGAAAATTCCAGGAACATACACTGAACTCTACCAAGCACATACTGTGCAAAAGGGCCGATTTGTTCAACACCTATCATCTATAACCTATTGTTTGCCAAACAAGTCATGTTGCTGTGTGGAGCCTAGCATACGGCAACATTTGATTCCACAGTCCAGAGTGCAATTAATTACTAGATCTATGTCAAGATATTAGCTCATCATTGTAATATTGATCAGTACATGTAGCAGGGGGAAAAAATAACTGTGTTGTGTTTGTATCTCTACTGACGTTCTACGCCTGGACTGTTTGTATCCCATCCCCCCAGACACACGCACAAACAGTCACACATCACACGTGTGCTGGTCGCCAGTCCGATCTCGACACACGGTAAGATATGGGTGCGTGATGGTGTGAGAAAGGAGGCCGCTGAATGGTCGAATAGAGCAGTTCACCCCGCAAGCGACTTCGTTGAATTCGAACTTGCTCAGGTATATATGTTCGTTGAATCTGGGTTACTTTTATGGATTTTTATGAATAAAAAAAATTGGGGAATCACACTCCCTCTGTTGAATCTGAGTTTTTGATGAATTCGAGCTCTTTGAAACTGAGTTCCACTGTATCTATTTCAATTTCCTAATGTTTTGCTCTTGAAGTTTACTTTTTACCAGCACAATGGTTTTCAAAACTATCAAATACAAATATAAGCTTATATTGCAATATCATTTTATGTAAAATCAAGCTCATTTGAAAGATTTTGTAAAGAAAAATGGAATTCTCGTTTCCTGGTTGTCCTTCCAAATTTCTAATGTCTAAGTGGGTCAATTTGTTAAAATTCCAACGGACGAACACCTTGAGCAACCAACTTGGTGTGTTTTGAATGAGAGATGTACGCCTTGTTTTCAAACCAATGCTGACATTTCTAGAAGTAGGCCATAAACCCACACAAACTAAAGAAGACTGGCGCAAAGATTTTCCTCAGCAATTGAAGGCAATGACCATGCAGCACAGGGAGCAAAAAAAACTTTATTGATGACAACAAAACAATATGCACTGCATGGAAAGACAAAGAAGGCCTTGTGTTTTCCTCTCCACAAAGGTATCAGTGGGCTCTGTGACAAAAAACAATTAAGGAAAAGCCTAAAGTTGTCGACAATTACAACACAAAGATGAATGGGTGCGATTGAGTCGTTCAGATGGTCGGGTATTATGGCGTTTTCAACAAAAACACACAAGTGGTACAGGAAATTGTTCTACTGGATATTAGAGATCACCTGTAATTACTTTTTTTAAAAATCACATCGCACAAAATCGACAGCCGTGGCCTTTTCCCAACACCTCTTCTCCCAGCAAGCTGAGAGTATGTGATAGCTACACGCAATCTCATTGGTCGACACAATTAACTTTGCCCCGGCAAGGTCAACTTAACTTGGTTGTTCTGTTCTCATACTAATGATGCAGGGAAGGCCAGTTTTGGATATTAAAGCTTGCGTCTCTATTGTTATCATTATAATCAGAAATAAATTTCAGAAATGCTTGAAATATTTAGGAGCAAGGGTCAGAAGTCTGAAGCGACGTCATGCTGGACTCGATTAAAAGAGTCCAAATTTAATATATAATTTTTGTTTAATTGGACTCGAGTCTTGGGTAGTGTGTTTTTTCTCTGTGCATATATTAATATTTTAGCATTTAACTCATATGCCCCGAGCGATAACTCAGTTGTTGCTGGCCAAACATGATTTCGGCTAAGGAACGATTCAGTCATAATTTTTCCCTTTGGTAACATAAACAGTGCTTCCCTCCTTCTTTCAGCAGTAATTTGCGAAATCGGAATTTGCACCACCATCCAGTGTCAAGACCAGAAGCTTTATATTGCTAGTTTTGTTATTATTAACTGATTCACTCCTTGAAACCATAAATATGGCGCAAAGATTTTCCCTGCACCCTGTAAAGCTGTATATACGGCTAAACTAATACACAATCGTTTCTTGTTCGCCTTTTCCAATCCATAAATCTCATCCATGTTTTGAATGTGCCCGGGGTTTACGGACTGCTAAATCAGGATCTGGTGAAAAAAATCAGGATCAACGGCAAATCAGTCATAAGGGGCACTGGTGAAGGGCGGAGGGTCCTAGTTCCCCTTTAGGAGGCAAGTATGCAAGAGAAAACTTTTGCAGGAATAAGTTCACGTTTGGGCCTCTAAATAGAGGGAAAACTGAAAGGCAGCATTACTCGAGTCGGAGTTGGAGAGACTGGGTGAGCACAGGTCGCACTAAAGCTGAAACTTGTAGTTTTGAAAATAGCTGACACATGACTTCTATCATCCATGCAAAAAGTCCGCGTTTTCATACAGTTGAGTAACAACGTTTGACTTCCATCGCATAGACACTCAAGGCACCCCCCCCACCCCCGAAAAAAAAAGATTGCACCAAGGTTGTTCATTTATTTCTTTTTTCTTATTCCTTTATCCTCAATTAGTACATGTATCACGGCACGTACACAGCCCAAGTGTCAAAACAATACCCCCACCCCCTCCCCCCGGTCATCCACACTGGTTAAGTCCCGAAAAGCAACTCGACCAATGCAACCGGTGTGAATGGACTGTGTTGACCCTGACAGCTGACAGTCAGCTACTCACACATACGAGGTCATGTCACGTGATGCGAATGAGCGTTTGAAAGTTCCCACTGACAGGTCTTGATGATGGGCCCGACTAACCAAAACTCAGACAAAGCTTGCTGTTAAAGCAAAGGCAGAACAATGAATAGATTATTCTCATGGGTCTCAACTCGGAATTTTTAAAAAGAAGGAACTTTCCACGTGATCGCGACAGAAGCCCATTTTCGCGAGACACCCACTATTATTATACTGTTGGGCCCTAGAATGTTGAAATAAAAAACCATCAATTTATCAAAGGAAGGTTATTTCATACCAGTTTGAGGGTTTGGAAGATAATTTCAAGTTAGAGTCACTTACCAAATATTTACAATCTTGATTACGTACAGAAAGTGGAGGCGCACTGTGGTCTTGTGCAACTTATTATTTTACCTTCATCTTATTCGCCTTTATAAACTATAAAAATAAATCTTGTTTTGAGCCTGGGAAAAGGCCTAGAACCAGAATATCGACTGTCATGAACCAGTCTGGGTGTGATGATTGTTACAGTAATCAGGACACCATCGGAGAAATCTGGGTTATAAAAGCGAAAGTAGATCTTGATCATGTCGGAATTCAAGATCGATACTACGTCGATTTTAGTTGAAATAACGTGCGTGAGTCATCTACTAGAATCGGCATAGATGTTTTCGAAAGTAACGTTCCAAGTTCCTGCAGACAAAAAAATCCAATCGGTGCTTCCAAGCAAAAGAGATTGCTGAACATTTTTTCCCCCGAAGAATCGGACGCAACGACAAAAAATCAGGATACTGGTGATCGAAATCGAGAAAATCGGGATGCTTGAGATTTGGGGCAAAAAATCAGGATATCTCGATTAAATCGGGATGAGTGGCAGGTTTGATTATCCGTATCCAGATGTTTTGCATGATAAAATTTCACACTTGCGGCTTACTGCAGCCCGTCAGCCATGCTCTGATTGGTTACAAGAGGTTTCCGGTATGTTAATAACATTTTGGAATTCCGGTAGGGACACAAACCGCTTGTTTCGTACGAATGTCAACAATTTCATTCATTAAGACATTGACAGGTTTGAGCTTCCTCATTTTCCGGTTCACTGCGTCTATTGAATACAATTGAACTTTTCCGGTACAGTATAAAAGAGACTATTCAAGCGCCACATAATGCAGAAAACTGAGAACAGTAAGAACGCTGATGCTTGAAATTGAAAAATGGTAAACGCAAAGACAATAAAGCGCGTGAAAATTACCGTAAAGACGCCGGAAGATTATCTCCCTCCCCTCTCCGGGCCCATAGAGTTTATACACTCCTTTTTAATAGTCTAGTGTTTACAATCTATGGCAGCAGCATAATTGGAGCACCGCATCTAGATCTAGATAGACTAGATCTAGATTTGTAAGTATCAGATTACCAGTATTCCTGGAAAAACATCGCACCAAAGTGTCGTGCCATGCGGTTGGCTGTATTTAGATGTAGATCTAGTCATATGATCGGAGGGGTATCCTAGTCTGACGTCGCACAAGATGGCCGCCTTACCTTAAAGTAGTTTGTGTTGTTCTACGGATACTACTTTTAACTCACTTGCGACTGGGCCCTTTCACCAGTCACAAGCGTTGAAGACTGGCGTTTTGGGGGGTACTTTTTCAATAAATCACCACAACTCTAAGAATTACCCTATTGTAATCATTTTTTGACACAGTAAAGTAACATTCAAGCTTAATCTAATACAAAAAACTAAAGTTGTCTAAGTCTAATACTTTAATTTGTATGATTTTTTAAAAATTGGCATGAATTTGATTTTCGAAAAATTTCCAGAGACGTGACAAGTAGAATGAAATTCACTGCAACAACAAAAATAAAAGTTCAAAGTGTTCTGGTTTGATTTGTATACATGTGCAAGTGTTTGGTGAAAATATAAAAGCTGGTCTGTGCATTGATTCAGACCCATACATTGAATTACATGAGACAGATGTACGGCACGACGTTGTGATTTCGTTGCGCGAAAAACAACACCGGTACTAGTGCTAGATCTAGCCCTAGAACTACGACTCAGGCCGTGTTCGGGTACATATCCAGGATCCTAACTATTAGACACATCATATTCTGAGACACTAGAACTAGTAAAACGCACAGAAGTATAGAAAACGGCGAAATTATGTGATTCTTGTTCATGCGACTTCTTCGACCGTTACTACGACGCGACTGTCGGATTACTATGAGCTGTATAGAAAAAAACAAAGCGCGAGTTCCGGTCTGTTCAACCCCAGTAGGGGTCACTGTCCTACACCTTCAATAACTTAAAAACTACCGGCCCCAGAGATACGAAACGAAGTCTAAGTAGCTCAGGCTTGGCCAAATAAGGGTACGAGGCGGGTCTCGCGATCCGTGTGCGTGATTTGTAGAGCGAAGAAAAAATTCCAAAGTTGGTCACGCAGGGCTTGTGAGACCCGTCGCGAGCGTCATGGCGGGGGTCACGCAACTGTTGTGTGACCCGTCTGAAGTGAGTTAAGAATCTGGGTCCCATAAAGTGGCTATTCTCACCCGCCGGAAGTTCTCGCAAGATCAACTCCTCCCCTCTTCTCTCTCTCTCTCTTTCTGAATACTGTCTATCGGTGTGGACGATCAAATTGACCAAAACAAAGTTAAAAAATGATGTTAAAACACAAAAGTAAATTAATTTGGTTGTCTACAAAGATGCTACGGCTATTTAACTTTTCGAATCGAGCCGAACTACGCGGGTCGCCATTTTGTTTTGCCCGGAAATTCTCGCGCTACTCTCTCTCTCTCTCTCCACTGCCCACAGACAAAATTGTACGCTTTTACTTTTAGTAGGCTACAGTTGTAATGGAACGTTTGTTCACGGCACAGAATTCTACAATTTTTCTGTCATCACAGTGTAGAATTCTGTGGTTTAGGGTGAACGCAAAATTTGGTGAACGCGCACCGGGTGAGAATAGCCACAAGACTAGCCTGCACTATTCTCACTCCGGGTGAGAATAGAGGTGGCCATAATATATATATGGCGGCCATGTTGGATTTTACAGAAATAGTTGCCAGGTGGAAAATTTTAATAAGTGTATGCAAGACATTTCATTTCAGGTACAAAATTGCGAAGAAAACCGCGATTCTAATTAGAATCTAGAATATCTAGATTTAACCACGAAAGTAATGGAATAAAAATTGGTTAAATCTACGGGGTTTTTTAAAACGTTTCTTCTGGAAAATGTTTTTGTGTCATGTGTGTGTGTGTGAATGTGTGTGTATGCGTGTGTGTACAAAAATAGAGTTGATGTTGGTGGCGGGCTGGATTGTCCGGTGGTAGAGGTTAGAAACAAAGAATTAACGGCAAAGGTGTGATTGCGTTGGTGTGCGTGCGTGCCTGTGTGTGTGTGCGTATTTACACAAATAGAGTTGATGTTGGTGGCGGGCAAGATTGTCCGGCGGTAGAGGTGAGAAACACAATAATAATTTGGCATAGGCTACTCCCGCTCATTTGCAACCACTTCCGTACGTATCCATCATGGCCGCCATATAAACAAACGGGACCCAGATTCATTAGTTGTACCGTTCTACGTTTAGGAGGCTAGTCACATTCATCATGTCTTTTTTCTTACCCATGTTATCAGGCTGGCACAGATCTGCTCCCTGTCATCCATGACATATGTTGTGAGCCACCAACAATGAACTTAGAAAAAAACAATTCAATTCTGTAATTATCTAAATCAGTGAAAATGCGATTTTTAAAATCAAGAGGTGGGTCTGCAGTTAAACCTCTAGATCTAGTGCCCCCTCCTCCCCACAGTGAAATCGTCAGTGTTGTGTAGTGTCAACATGAAAGTGACATACAAAAAGGGACACCATAAACAACAAAATTTACACGACTTGGCATTAACGGATACTCTCTAGCAGAAAAAAATATAACAACTTCAAGTTTTGAAAATTATCACGGAATTACAAATTTCATCAAAAACTCTACGAAGTCAGAGTCACAATGTTTTTCTTCTCGCATGAATAGCTTTCGGTGGCCATATTTTTCTGCAGCAAATAGAGAGAGGGGACGTAACAAAAATTGTTCCTTTTGGCAAAAAGCTAAAACATTTGCCACGACACTGGTTAAGCGAAACAATTATTAATATTTTTCTCGCCTCCCCCCCCC